TTTCCTCACGGGGGGGGGGGCGGACGGACGATGACTTTACCCCGTCCTCCCCTGACAACGGGTGTTTTTGCCCTTTCACGGCCAGGCCGTCGTGCTGCCCCTGTCCCCCCATGCTGCCGGCAGTGGGGCAGCCTACGAGTTAAAGTAATCCCTTGTCAGGCCAGGTTTGGCCAAGAGAGCTTGCAGTTCACGACCTGAGCATGGGACGGGTCCTGCTACCTCAGGATGTGACCACAGGCCAGTTGTCCAGGGTCCGAGTCAAAGGGATGCTCAGCCTGCCCCATTTCGGGCAGTGGGGATGTGTCACTTGTGAGGATCACACCCCTGCAGTGCCTGTACACCAGCATCCCCCCCTATACAAAGGGCCCTTTCCAGCAGTGTCTGTTGCTCAGGGTTGCTGATGCTCTTTGAGGTCTTTGGTGGAAGGAGCCATGACGGCAGGCAGGGACCTCTGCCTGGTTTGCTGTGCGTGGTGCTTTCCAGACACCTATAATGAATCAGGCTCCGAGGAATTTAGCCTCCAAACTCTGCTTGCAGCGATTACACTGAAATGACCTTTGTTTGCATGAAGAGCAGCGCTGTCATCCACGGAATGTGGGGATGGCGTGACTAATATAATGCTGTGTCCTGAACAAACAACAGAGGTACGCAGGCAGTAGAGAAATTAAAAGCAGGGCTTGGAGGACTTCAGAGACTTTTTGGTAAGAGCTTTCCAAATGGCAAGGCCTGATGTTAAATGCCAGCTGAATATGTCACCCTTGGGGCCAAGCTAGTTTGTAAGCTCTTGGAAAGCAAGGTCTGTCTGAGCTTCTGTGTGTGAGATTTTGTGAGAAGGCATTTAAACTCTGCTTTTACTGCTGATATGTGCAGCTGTTAGTTTGATTTCTGGGAGTTTTCTGTGGCCTATCCTTCATCAGGATTTCATCGCAGGTTTTAGACCGTTTAGTTCACTTGAACTAATTCTGTATTTTTTTTTTCTTAGTATCACCTTGGAGGAATATAACCTTGCTGCCCCGCTGACTCGCTGGAAATACTGGCTTATCTACACTTCTGCCTATGGTGCCTGCCCTGTCTCAGTGTAGCCTGGTGGGGGAAGAAAAGCAGCAGACAGGCTACAGAGAACTTTTTTTGTGCATCACTGAACTAACTCTTGCTTGTCCAAGCAAAACAGGATGGATGGGAAGAAGTGGTACCAAGTTACAGATAAGACGGTTCTAGCAGGGTCCAAGTCTCTTCTCTAAAGAGAAGTTCCAGCATCAGAGAGGCTGAGAAGTAAACACTCCAATCAACCAAAATGGAAGGAGGCAACAGTCCAAGTCTGCAACTTCAGCAACTTCCGGTGGCCACAGCAGCGGTTTCTGTACAGCCACACACTGACTCCTTTTCTTACAAGGTCAGATTTCTACCCCAGTCTATCCCTAGAAGGCCCTAACTATTCAAGTAAGCTGATAATGCCACTGTATTTTGGTTATTTTTTTGCAGAAAATGCAATCTTTGTATTTAGCCATGCCTGGAGGCCCCAGTGTATTATATGCTGTGTATATAAGCAGTGAGAGGAAGAAGGAGAAATTCTGTGTCTTGAAGAGCTAGACAAAGCAAAGAAAGGGCTGGCAGTTAAAAGATGTGGGTGTCCAGAGGTGGTTAGGCAAAATAAATTCTGCGAGGTGCCTTTTCAGACTAACCCATACATCAGTAACTGAGATCAGACATTCTGGTCTGCTGTATATTCAAGTGCTTGAATTTCAGGTGGGTCAGCCACAGTCATGCAGAGAGCCTGCAGCTGAGGTAGGACATGTTGCTGTAGTTCCTCCTTTTTCTCCAACTGGGAACAGAGCTGTTCCCAAATTTCCCCTGAATCCTTGATTCTGAAGGTGCTCAGAAAAGCCTAGCAAGGAGGGCTTTTTTTTCGCTGGAAAAAGCACTTTGCTGAGAACGCAGTCCTAGGTGCGTTGTAAAAGTTGACCAGACTGATGTTGGCTTGCAAGCTCTCACAGTCCAGAAGCCAATCCCAAACACGTGCTGTGCTTAGGAGCTTTTCAGCTGAGGCACCATCTCCGCCGTGTCTTCTAAACTGAAATCCAGTTGCTGAACCAGTAAACCATGCTGAGCTTCTCTGGCTACATCTGTGATCACACAGTGTGACATTTTTCTGCCATCTTTACTGTCTGTTGTGGGAAGATCTCTCAGGTGTTTTTGAATGAGGCTGCCTGGGTGAATCTTATTTTCGTACATCCTGATAAAGAGATTTTTGTTCCACTGATAAGAACTTGAAATCTTAGAAGTCCTTGTCTTACTATGTATGAGGAAATCAAGAATACTATATTTACTGTTAAGGGAGGAATATGAATGTGAGCTCAGTTATCCCAAATCAATCAAGTAAGTACTAGACTGTATCTTGGAGACCAGCACTGAAATGAAAAGTGCTAATGACATCTAATGAGATTTAGACAGTTGTTGGAAGAACACAAATGCTAAATGGCCTGGCTTAGCCTCAGGCTCTTCTGTTCACTCCTAATGTACGTTTCCTTTGTGACTCAGCCTGCTTTACATCCTTTTTTATTTCAAATTCTGTTTTTAGACCGTGAGAATTATTGCTGAGCTGGGAATGCTAATATAGAAAGGGTTGGGAGCTTGCTAGGAGCTGCTACCAGTTGCCTATTACTTTGGAGTAACTGGTTCATAAAAAAGCAGCATAAAATCTGTGATAATTGGGCTGCCTCATCAAATGGGCTAAATTACCTACTGAACCAGCAGAGTTTATAAGTGGAGAAGAGCAGAATAGTTCTTAAGACATGACTGGCAGAATGCAGAGGTTCCTGATCCATACTCTGCTGAATTCCAGGGCAACAAACATTCTCATGGAAAGAGTTTTCAAAGGGAAGAAGGAGTGAATGAGTCATTAAATGTGTTTATCTTCTTCCCTTCTGAGAAACTGCAAAGAATGCAAATATATGCACACTGATTTGAGTTTCTTGTAGAAAGTGTTTGTTAAGGAAGGGTTCCTTCACCTGAGTTTCACAGATTCGGAAAGCAGCCACAGGGAGCTTACCTGAATTGCCCTAGATCACCTAGAAAGGGTGGAAGATAAACAGAGATTTTATTGACAAGTGATCTAGAAACTGTTTTAAAAAGTCTGCTCTCTTCCAGCTTGTGCAAAAAGCTCCAACTTCCTTCAGGGTCCAGTGGATAAATTTAATATCTGTGCATTTACTTTTGTTTTACAGGAGAACTTGATTGGTGCATTACTAGCTATTTTTGGGCATCTTGTTATCAGTATTGCGCTCAATCTCCAGGTGAGTATCACGAAGCAAATATTGATCCTGCCTCAAGCATCCTGCATTAAAAAACATCAAGCATGGCAAAGATTCTTTGCCTTTATTTTCTTTTCTAGAAATATAGCCACATCCGACTGGCAGGTTCCAAAGACCCCCGAGCCTACTTCAAAACCAAGACATGGTGGTGTGGACTGTTTCTGCTGGTGCTGGGAGAGCTGGGAGTGTTTTCCTCTTACGCCTTTGCTCCTCTTTCACTGATTGTGCCGCTCAGTGCCGTGTCTGTAATAGGTAAGGGGGAAAGAGGCAACGGCCATACAAGTTTTGAGTGCATTCCAGTGTGAGATTGCTGATCATTGGGCTGATACGTAACTCGGTGCTTCTCTCTCCTTTTTTTGTAGCTAGTGCAATCATAGGAATTATATTTATTAAAGAAAAATGGAAGCCCAAGGATTTTTTGAGTAAGTTCTACAGTTCCTTTTCATTTTTTCTCTCTGTTTACAAGCCGTTCAGCACATAGCATGGCCTCTCAAGAATCATAATTAGAGGGATGGCAAGATCCCCATTGGCTATAGCACCTCTTCAAAGAAATGTGTCGTCTCATCCACCTTTTGTTAAAAATGGATTTTTTTGGGTTTTTTTTTTCTGACTTGTGCCAAATCATCTGAATCTCACAGATTTTAGAAATACATGGAAATGGTGTTTGTTTGGAGGATCGGAGAATCATGGGTCTCTGGGCTGAAGCTGCAGCCTAGGGCCTTGACTCTGCAGTAGCGTCAGCACAGCTGAATCAGCTGAGTTTCATACACGTGCAAGCATTTGCAGAACTGTGGCATTCATTCTTCCATTTCCTAGAAAATGGGCTGTGGGCAGTGCCAAGCAGGATAAGCCCCAGACACAGATCTTGTAGCTCCTATTTGTTTAGCAGATGCTACCTGGTATGAGCCTTTTTCTCAACTCACAGCATGCACGTTGCCTAGGGTTTCTTTGGTTCTAATGTTTTGAAAGTGGAGCATGAAGGGTAGAGGAGGAATGAGTCACCCAGAGGAATGTGCGTGATGTCATTAATGGTCACTGTGCATGTGCGATATTAATTCCATGCATCCACACTAACCCACTAACTTTGTCCTCTCTTCTTTTTTTTTTTTTTTTTTTTTTTTTTTTTTTTTTTTGTCCTTTGGTTGCCGAAGGGCGCTATGTTTTGTCCTTTGTAGGCTGTGGTTTGGCAATTGTTGGAACTTATCTGCTGATAACATTTGGACCTAATAGTCATGAGAAGATGACAGGAGAAAATATCACTAGGCATTTAGTGAGCTGGCCATTTCTGTTGTATATGGTAAGATGGCCCATAAAATGTGGGACAATTTTCTGCTATATCCCTGACTGGGAGTTTCGTTTCAAGCATTATTTTTCCTTATGCTTGCTAGCAATATTCCTTGTAGTTGCTAATGAACCTATGCCAGCTTTTCCCGGTGTTAGTTCTGTGTTGCCTGTGGACACCTGCATGTGCAATTTGGAACCCTCCCGTTCTTTCTCTGTATTATTCTGTTAGGACTTAAATGACTTTAACCGAAAAGTTTTAGAACAGCTTGCTCTCTCCCTGACCTGTCACCTGCAGCCTGTGGCAGCAGTAGTGATGGCAGCTGAGAGCAACTGTTCCAGAGGTGTCCAAAAACTGTGCTTGCATCGGGGCTTTTTCTAGACTGACTTTTTCGGGAGCCATCAATCTTATTTCAAAATCTTATGAGATCTATCATTTTTTAATGGAGATAACTTTGGCCATTAAATAAGATGTGTGCTGCAGGGATCGCTTAAAGAACCTCATTACGGAAAGTAGGCTGAGATCTCTGAGGTGAATATTGAGTCAGGATTATCTGATGTGTTGCTTTGCCATTAGTATAATGTCAAGAGTCCCATGTTTCCTGTTCTGCAAGAAGCTACTGAATATGTCTTCGAATTAGAATCTAAGAACATGCTAAATTTGATCTATAATTGTGTGTGATCCTCATTTTCCTTTGATTTGCCCTTTTGTGTAATTCTAATGTTTGACTGGCTCAGAATCCCACTTACTGCCAACGCCATACACCCCGCATCTTTTAATATTCTCATTTCTGTCTTTTGTAGCTTGTGGAGATCGTCATATTCTGCCTGCTACTATATTTTTACAAGGAGAAAAATGCAAACTACATTGTTGTTATTCTTCTGCTGGTAGCTTTGCTGGGTAAGTTGATATGGACTTGTCAGATATTCTAACTCTAGCTTATAACAGTAAACTATGGTAAACTGAGGCATCCACAGCTTATAGGAAATTACACTGATCTAACTAATGTCGTAAAATGCACCGATCTACTCTGGAAATGTTACTACAAGTTAGATAAAGCTAATATCTTGCAGTGATTTTTAGGATCTTTGCAAATAACCTTTGAACATTAAGACATTTCCTATAAGGACGGATACTCTACCAAATACAGAAAGTGCAAGTTATTTATTGGCGTTCTTAATTTTAACCTGTGCATGCAAAGGCTGGTATAATCTCTTACCTATTCAATGGATAAGGAAGGCTGATTCAGTGGATGAAAGAGAGGATTTGACCTACAAGAATCTTCTTGGCTCTGGGAAGATTTGCTATGTGGCTAAAGAAATGATAAATACTCTGCCGTGCCAGTATGTCCCTATGTAAATTGGGAGAGGCTCTGGGCATGGTGTGAAATGATGCTTTTGATACCCTCATAGCCTATGGTGGGATCCTACTGTGACTTTGGAAAGGCCAGGATTTCACTTGTACCTTTCTCCACGTTAATTTGTTTTGTTTTTTGTTTTTTTTTTAAGAAACTGTGATCAATTAAACTTTAAAAAGGGTGAATAATAGCAAGGCGGTGACGCAGTCTGATGTGCTGTTGAATCTACGTCACAGTCCTCAATTTTTGCTATTTATGCAACTTCAGTCACTGCAGTCTTCTTTTTTTTTTTTTTTTTTTTTTTTTTTTTTTGAGCTGTTTGTGGCTGGATTTCAGTAACTGATGCCTCAGAGGCTGCGTGAATCACAGACAAAGCAACTGTCCTAATTCTGAATGGCCCTGGCTTGTGCTTTCAAGAAATGGAAAGGAAGTAGGCTCTTTCTGATTTTTGTTTTGAAAATTTCCTTAGCTTTATTAACCAAGTCAGTATGGCATCAGAAATGGAGATTTGTATCCTTCCATCATGTGATTGCACAACACTGTTTAAATACTTAAAAAAACCCCAGTAAATGTTCCTGGTCCTGTAGAGAAGGGAACCATGATACAGCAAGATTAAGTGATTTATTGAAGGTCACTGCAGTGAAGTTGTTGGGAATAAAACTGGCAGAGTTGGTGATAAAATATGCAGTTTGCATCCCTTGTTTGCCCTGACAAAAGGAGGGTTCAAGTTCTTGTAGATCTTGGGTTTGTTTGCTGATGCCTGTATAGAGCAAATGGGCAGTGTTCGTGTCCCCTTGAGCATGTGTCAGTGTTTCAGCTGAGTCTTGGTAAACGTTTGCAGGTTCCATGACTGTTGTGACCGTGAAGGCTGTGGCGGGCATGATTGTTGTCTCGATACAAGGAAACTTACAACTCGACTACCCTATATTTTATATCATGTTGGTGTGCATGATTGCTACAGCGATCTTTCAAGCAACGTAAGGCATTTGCTCTCTTTTTGTCTATAATTGTGCCGGTTGCAGTGGATTAGTAATTAGGGGGCTGTTTGTTATCCTTTCCAGGAATGCTGATTAAATTTAGGAGAATTATCCGTTCTCTTCTGTGACCTGACCTCAAATCCATGTCACAGGAGCCTGAGATAGTGATGTCCTTTGCTTTTCCACGTAGTGACGCTGCCAAGTAGTTTTAATCCCAAATTTATACATCATTCAAGTATTTGCAAAACAATGTTAGGAATGAAATGGTGGCAAATCAAATACAGTATCTGCGCCCTGGCTAAAATCAAAGTGCAGAATCAGTGTTGTTGGTGATGATTTTTGGGTTTTTTTTCTCTGTACTTATGATAACATAAAAAGCTGGTAGCAGCAGGGATAAAAAGCTATTCAAAATGTGACGTTCTGGCCTTAAGGTCAGTGGCAGTAATTTCACTGCCTTTAGTCAGTCCAGCCATAAGGCTTACTCTGTCATTTATATGAATTCCAAGGGATGCTGCTGCAGGTTTAGTGAGAAAGAGAATAAAGTTGCTTAAATTTATGCATCACTTCTGAAAGGCATTTCCAAAAAGGAGACCTATATTAGTCTGTGATAACTGCTGTACAATTTGAGTATCCTTCCCAAAGCAAGCCCTGTTGTCTGTCATTGTATTGCAGATTTTTAGCCCAAGCCTCACAGCTGTATGACTCCTCTCAGATTGCCAGCATCGGCTATATCCTGTCGACAACAGTAGCAATCACAGCAGGTAACAGTGCACAAACCGGTGTGTTGGTCCTTTCTGAAAGAAGGGCGGGCAAAAGATTTTGGAAAATAATCCTCACTTGCAGATGAGGAAGGTGAATACTCGGCAAGATGGTGACTTGTATTTTCTTGTCATCTCTTTTCTGCAGCTGGCTTTGTTTCTTTTTATAAATGTGAATTATCCCATTAGACTGTGTTAAAATTCTCTGCTAAGTTCTGTCATTTTGTTTAAAGTGCATGGGAACCTACATTTGAGACTGTACTGCTCATACCATGCTAGCGTATAGAAGAGGGTGATGTGTGCTCTTAGATGTGCAACTTGCATTCACAGCTAAAATTTCTCCTTGTGTAGTTTTATCTAGATTGCGTTAAAATGTGATACGGCGTATAAACGTATTTGCTTCCTCTGTACAAAGGTGTAGTCCTGATAGTCTTGTTTGCCTTGTATCTAGAATGCAGCTGCTCACAGCTTTGTAGGCATTTTTCTTTCTGAACAGATGACTCCAATTTCAGCTCTGGTGCACACAGGGAAAGCTTTGTCTTCATGGACAAGGATGAGCATTTTTAAACCCCTTAGGCTTCAAACCTGACGAGCAGCCTTTTTAAGGTTTTGTTCTCCTCACTTAGACATACGAGCAAAACTGGGGAAAAAAACAACCAAACAAAAAACCCAAGCTCCCAACACTGGAGAAAGTGCCTCTGCTTGACAGTGATAGACGCTATCTGTGTAAATAGTAATGCTCTTCTAGGTATGTAAGGGCAATAGCTTCCCCCCTGCGTTACACATTGCCTTTTAGTACTCTTCTTCAACGTCGTGAGAGAGTATGGCCTACCCTTTGGCTAATGTTTATTTCCTGTCATGTCCCAAGCCATACTCTGCTCTCCGATTCGTCAGCTTATTTACTTTACTTCAATTAGAAATGTAAAGAGTAGGAGCCACAATGCATGTCCAGTTGACATCCAGGACACCAAGGGCGCTTGTCATCTTACAGGTTTGAGTTGTATGCACTTGTCTGGGGTCAAGAGTTTATATCCTTTTGTAGTTAGAGAAATCTGATTTGGTTTGTCATTCCAACTTCAGAAATACAGTCTCTCTTGTTTATGTGGTTAACCACTGCTGTATGGTGAGAATTTGGTTTCCAGCAATGTTTCTTTTGCACCCCCCTACTCCAGTATGGAAAGATTTGTACTGGTTGCTGTGCTGCTGTACAGGTTTACTTTCATCTCTATTAGTTACACCAGTATAACTATTTTGGTAGTGAAATTCTAAAAGATCTGTCAATAAATTGTGTTAAAGTAGAAATCCGGCCACCTTTGTCTATCCTGAGATCATAAAAAAACCAAAGGTGATGACTATAAAATAGGAATCTTGCATGATTTGATTTCTGGAGGGACTAGTGCTGGAGACGTAGCGCTAATTGCTCGGGTAAGCTGGGAAGAAATGTCATGATTTATTTCCTTTTAAAGGAGCAACTTTTTACTTGGACTTCACCGGTGAAGATGTTCTCCATATATGTATGTTTGCACTTGGGTAAGTGTTTAAAGTTTCCTTGATAGAAAACTGGAAAGTATTTCTTCATGTGACTGAAATTTTAAAAATGCATATCCATCTCTCTCTCCATGTAAATATTGGAGGTACGTACATTCTTGGAGAGGAGGACAAACTGAAAGCACTTTCTTTGTTAGAGCAGGCAGTGGCCCATAGAGCTGAGTATCTTGTCTGAGTGATGATGGATGCTCTAGAGGAATTGTATGACACTAGATTATGCATAATTGTACAACATTAAACTCTTAAATCCCTTACTGACTCTACTGGAGATGAGCTTGGACGTTGAAGCGTATCGGCTGTTTTTCAAGCTACCTGCTCATTTATCTAGAAGAATTACAGAATAACCAAAAGGAGCCATCTCTAGGGAATCTATTTCAGGTTTTGCTCCGAGCCTTCACTGAACTGTGACTGGACTTCAGGAGTCCTGTTTCTTAGGGCATGAGCACTCACACAATGCAGATATGATCAGTAAAACATTTGCTGTGTAACTCGGCATTTAGTCCTAGTACAGTGTCTTGATGTGATTAGCTCTCCGTAATCAGGGGACATTCTGAAATGTCTTTCAGATTAGTACAGAAAAAACAATTGGGAGATTAATGTTATGAACTGCATCTTTCTCTGTCAACATACGGTAAAAATCAAGATCAACAGTTGTTAATGGGTTTACCTGTGGGAAACCTTTCAAAGGTCAGGCTGCTAAATCCTGGAATTTCATCAAAGCAAACCATATTTTGATATGCTTCTTTTCCCTTTTAGTTAGTCAAGATTAATTAATTAATGTGAAAGCTTTTCCCTACCATTTGATAAAGAAAAGGTGCAATTGTTCTGATTGCTAGGTGGGTTTCAATACTGTTGAGGGTTATTCAGCTAAGTCAGTTCCCTGTAATTCTGACTTCAAGGTTCTTTCTCTTCCAGTTCTGAATTCTTTATGGTGCTACATGGTAGGCACTTAGAAAGAGCAACATGCAATATTACCGCCTCTTCTGTTTCGTAGTTATCTCAGTAGATCTTGTCTTCTCTCTCAGGTGCCTCATAGCATTTCTCGGTGTCTTCCTGATCACAAGAAATAGGAAGAAATCTGTACCATTTGAACCTTACATATCAATGGACGCTATGCCAGGTAACAGTAAAATACAGTGGTTTGTCACTCTTTAAGTGTTGGGCTTCACAGTGAAAGCTCCAGCTTTAGGCTCTGTTAACTATCCGGGAATATTAGGTGGCAGTGGCGGTTCCTAGTTTTTCCTTCTCTTGTTAGTTTGTGCTTTGTGAGGGGTATGTACCTGTCTTGCATGGAGTGGAGAGAAGGTGACATGCCACTCGGATGCCACTTATTCTGGGTCCTCTGGCACCCAGGGGGGATGTCAGACTTTATCACACCGGCCTTGTTCTGTTGGCTGTTGTCTGGGAAGGTGAATTAGTTTTGAGCATTTGCTTGAGACTGGACTTGTGTTGCAAGAGGTGGAGGCCAGTGGGAGCAGAAATTTCTTTTGGGAAGCACAGCTAAACTCTTTCTGGTGAGCTGTATAAAAGATATGCAGCACTTGATAAATAACTGACTGCCATCCCTCATTCACTTGAAGCTTATTTCTTCATTAGTTGCTTTAGTGCTAAGCAGAAAAACATTATGTCTTTCATTTAACACTCAAGGAACTGATGAGCCACATATCACGAACCCTGAGACCTTATAACTTGCTGATTTAAGAGTGCAGGAAGAATGCACTTTTGTTCCTAAGCATTTAATCTCTGTCTTTGCTCTTTTCAGGCATGCTGAACATGCACGATAAAGGGATTGCAGTTCAGCCTGACCTCAAAGCTTCTTTTTCCTATGGTGCCCTAGAGAACAATGACAGCATGCCGGAAATTTATACTCCAGCTACATTGCCAATCGTGCAGGAGCAACATGGTTCCAAAGGAGTTTCTGCTCCACCCTACCGGGTGCTGGAGCACAGCAAAAAGGAGTGAGTGACCTTTAAGGAACTGATTTGAATCATCAGAAGTATGACCTTTATTTATTTACCCATTAAAATATAAGCAAGTGTAAAGCCAACCTTGATATAGTTTAAAGCTCGTCTCAAACTTAACTTTCAAGGCTGATTATTAAAATAAACAACTCTCTGTCATTGTGAAGTTGAAAGCATTCGTCTTGGCAAGAAGTAAATCACAGTTCTCCATTGAAGGCTGCTGCCTGGAAGCATGAAATGGTGAGTGCAGTATCATGGCAGTATGAAACCGATGAGAGAGCGGACGCTGTGAAAATGCAGAGCTGTGAAAGAGAAGTGACTGTGCAATTTTTAGTCCTGCTGGGAGCAGGTTTATCTCCAAATAGAAGTTTTCAGGAAGTTGCTCGCAGAGAGAGGAGGGCAGGATTTAATCTTTCTTATATAGAGACCGTGATGGATTTCCAGAAAAGTAAATCCTCATGTCTCTAGCATAACCACTAAACTACCTTAACTGGCAATAAAATGTAATTGTTTTCAAGCACGAATACTGAAAATTACTGTGTCTTTAGAGCAACACATATGGCTAGAGTGAGCAAGCTAATTTATTCCTTCAAAACGTGAATCTTGGGCACTTCCTGTACAACTGTTCTCTGACTGCCGTTGAACATATGCACTGAGTATGTGAATTGTTTTCATAGCACCACCGGATTATCTGGCATCTTAGAACAAAGATTATTTGGCAGTTTTATGGTTTCATAGCAGGAGCTCCAAGTTGGATTAGATGGTGCAGAGGGAACACTGTGAAGTACAAGAACAAGAAGAAATGAGAATAGTAGCATGACTGGTATCTGGTGGGAATTTTTTTTTAGGTCTTGATGAGGTCCTAATTCTGTTACAACTTCTTCTTTCCAGTTGAGGCAGGGTATCCAACTTTGTTCAGTGGTCTTAAATGCTTAAAGGTGTTGACATTCCTTAGTTAAAAACCTCAGTCTAGGTGTTTTAGGCTGCCCCCTCCTTTTTTTTTTTTTTTCTTTAAAAAAAGCGAAAAAAGATACTGGTCTAATACTGTGAATGACCTAAGAGGAAAAAAGAAGCGTGCGCAGTCCAGCACTCGGTGTGGGCTGTAAGAATAATGGATCATTGTGTACTCATGGTATTTATCTTTCCAGCTTCCAAGAGATGGCTAGAAGCTGATATGAATGGAGAATAGACACAAGGGGGGGCAGAACTTGTCAAGTGAAAAGGACAAAGTACAACATTTACTGGCATATGCATAGTGGCACTTCAATATCATCATCTCTAAAAGCAGTTGTTTTGCTGGGAAACAGAATTTTAAGTCTACTCGGTGTATCTTGGACTGTATACATAGTGGAGGGTCTCCATGACCTTAGAAGACCTTATTTGAAATGAATAGTGCTTGTGTTCTCCCATTTTTAAGTGGTTACTCTGATACCAAGGGGTTTGGGAGGATCTTGGACTTGCAACAGTGACTTTCTGCAGTATTTTTTTTTTTTTTTTTTAATTAAATTGACTCATGGCCAGTGTCTGTTCCCACTACCAAAAATTCCCAAGAACTCCACTGACTTGTATATAGTTATTCCAGATTGTTGCTATTATATATGACAATAGAACTGGGTTTTTTGCATATGTTTGCTTTGCCAGCTACAAATACCAATTTAATCTGGAAATACTTGAGATTGCTTTGGCATTTTTGTGCAGCTTAGAAAAATTATAACCTTCCCCTCCTGCAAAGAGTAGATGCCTAGTGGCTGTACGTGTACCTGTATGTGAAGTTTCTTCACCAACTTGGCATGTCTGACAACTTAGATCTTATCAGTGGCATCCTGTGCACTACAGCTTATGAAACCTCAAGAAATAACAGCTTTTCGTTTGCCCTCAATACTTTTTGTGTTTAAGTAAGATAACAACATTAATGGGCTAATACTGCCAGAACATTAATCTTGCTGGAGTTGCAGTGACACTGATTTACTACCTTTTGGCTTTGTATCCCCGGTAATCAATCGTTTGTGAATTTATGTGCAGCTTTTGTTCATTAACAATACAAAACAAAGTAGTACAGGAGAGGCTGAATGGGAAGGGTACAAGAATCCTGGCTTTTCTTATCTCTTCCCTTTTAATCGGTGAGGCAGTAGCTGTTTTGACCTATTAGTTCTGAAAGCACAGAAACATATTGTTTTAAAACAAGCTGTGCTAAACAATGCATAGCTGCAAACTCTACTTTTTACATAGCAATGTAAATCTGTGTTTAATTATTACAGATGTGGCTGTGGTATAAAATAATCAGAAGCGCCTAAATGTTTTGCTGTTGGCTTCTACTATTAGGATGGTCCTGTGTGTTACAGAACATAGTTTTCTCAGTTCTTAGGTTTTTAGTAGTATTTAAAAACTGCAGGTGACTGGTGTGTGGGCTTTGTAGCCAGTAAATGGCTGGTTAGGTTTTTCTCCTAATCGTGGGAATGATGAGAGACAGACACAGAGTGCTTTGCCGGGGAAGAGAGCTACTCTGATGCTGAGCCCCCGCTTCTACTTCTCTTTTGTGGGCTGCTCTCTGGCCTGATGCAGTGATTTTTATTTTTTGCAGTAAGTTGCCTGGATTCTCCATAGCCCTGCAGCCTGAGCACCAACTGACTCCTGGCCTGACCTTCTCTGCCAGAGAGCCCTCAGTCGTCAGCACGTGGCTGGCTTCTGCTCTGAGTGAAATTTCCTCCAGCCATAACCTGAGCTTTTGTATTATTGTGCTGGTTTGGCCCTTTTCTTTCAAAGACTCTGAAGGCAAGAGTCTTCCTCTAAAGCTTTATATAACCATGTTTTATTTACACAGTCTGTGTGTGTTTTAATAATTCTACTTAATAATGACAGTTCCCTTTACCTGGAGCGAGACTTGCTTTTGGAAACTTCCTGACAAAGGACTCCAGGGGAGGTGATGTCTGTTTCTACAGCACATAAATCACAATATTTTAGATTACTCCATTGTGCCGCCTCAGTAGAGCCTGGGGTGGTCATTGGGCTATAGGCCTCAACTCAATGCACTGATGTTATAAGGGTTGCATTTCTGCCAGGCTGTGTTAGCCACCGTAAGCACGGTAGTAGGACTGCCAGACTGCACCTCGCTCCTGCTTGCTGCCTTCGTTCAATACTTGAATTTTAAAATGTGGGCTTTGGTTTGGTTTTTTTTTTTTGTATTTTATGTACTTCTCCCTTTCTTGCTCTTTCTCTCAAGCTTCCAAAAGATTTTATTTTCTGCTCTTCAGCACAGTCTTACTGCTGCCATTTCTGTTGCTGAGAAGGCATGGACAGGGGCCCATAGATCTGTTTAAACTGACTGTAGGACTTCTGTGTTCTTCCTAAGAGTGGGAGGGTATAGCTCAGGATTGAAATAAACTCCTTACCTCCCATCTAGTTCCGAGCTTACAAGCTGAAAACAGGAAGCTATCTGTACCCCAAGTCTATACTTTTTACAGAATATTTGTTAGTCTGAGGAGACAATGGCCATGCCCGGGATTGCAGCAAATGTTGACAGCGAAACAGCACATGAAGATTTAAAGGAGAGGAGCCACATTCTAGTCCTTCTTGCAGCATGAAAAATAATCTGTTGGTGTACAGCACACTTTAACATGGGTATGTCAAAACTTCAGCTTATCCAGGGCTGATCCCGAGAGAGGCAGGGCACTGTAAACAGCAGAGTATCCTTAGATTTCCAAAATCAGTTGACTGCTGTCTCCTTTACTAAACTGGTAGACTAGCTCCTTGACTCTCTTGTCTCCTCGCTTCTTTATCAAATGTGAACCGACATCTATTGCCTCCACACTATGTGGCTTTTCAATGCACCAGAGCACTTAATACGTTCTCATCGTCTCTTACGTGTAACTTAATGCTGTGGAATACAGCTCCTATGTTGGCTGAATGTACGAAATGATCTGCCTACAATGTTCTCTCGTTCACATTAAAATGTGTAAATAAATCAAGCTTTACAGTATTGGACTATAAGGATAACTGCTTAATTTTTCTTAAGCATTGTTGCATGTCTATTTAATTCTATTTGTCTTTTAGGTGAGACCTTTGGAAATGAAACTTAATAAACGATTGTGGTAAAACCTAGAGAATTCCGGCCTGCTCTATACTCCTGGTATAGCTTTAATCGGCCCTAAATGTCTTGAGAGAAGTTAAGACAGAATTTAGTTTACTACTATAAGTACTATGTGCATTCAAAGAACTTTTTTTTTTTTTTTTTTTAACAGGATACTTGTAAATGAAATGCAGATTGCTACAACTCGTGTTTGGGGCTGCAGCATTACTAACGCATGCCATTTTACATGACTCTCCAAGTATTTGGTGTCAGCTTTAGGAATCGTGCAACTTACTTTAAAATCTTAGTTTTACAGGGCTTTAAAAAAAATCGTAGCATTCATTATTTCAGAGAAGAGCTTGAATATGTGATCCAAGTATAGCCTAAAGGGGGAGGGGATGATGACACAAGATGAGCCAAATCACAAAACCAAAAGCAGTGTATTATTGGTGGCCTGACTCATGATTTTTGCGTGCCTGCCAACTCAATACTGAAATTGAGACAACAGCATGCTTCTCTGAGACAGCAAAGACCTCTAATACTAGTTGGGAACGCTACACTGTAGGAGATGCCATCCTTCAGATACGGGATATCATGTCTTTGACTGTAGGAGTAGACAGCTTAAGGGCATTTCCTAACAATGCCATTAAGAGATACAGACGGTCATAAATTTAGAATACTGGCAACGTAGCTTAATCGAATGCTTGCCAACCTAATTAACACTCACCATATGGGTTTTAGTCCAGGGGGATGAGCAGAAGATAACCCTCAGGATACTCTTAATTAAATGTATCTCTTGGGGTCCCAAACCACAAATGGAAAAAAAAACCAAAACCAACGAAGAGCAGCCTTATCCTCTTTCGTGTTAAAGCTGCACTTCAGAGAATTCCCTGGACACAGGCATTAAAACACTGGCTGGCACTTTCTTGAATGCTTGCAGAAGCAGCATACCTAAGTGCCAGAGTTTCTGATAAACGCGGTAATACTTTGTTAACATACATCACTTAAGGGTTGGTGTTATATCAGAGACAACTGTGTTAAGTGCTAATGTAAAGAGGTGGCAATCAAGCCAGATGTCAGGATCATTACAAAAATGCATGCTACAAAAGACAAAGCATTTAAAAGGCCCCTGAAATGGACACAGATGTTGGGAGTTTATGGCATTAAAGCAGAATATATTGCTGGCCAGGGAGGAAGAAGATGGTATTGAATTAATAAAGCATGGGACTGCAGCACGGAAAGGCTAAGGTAATTGAGACTAACCAATTACGGCCTATATTTGCACTGCATCTAAATTGCAGAATCCCTTGACTGGACAGGTTAAGACTGATCTTACCTTTTTAAAAGTGAATTCTGCTCTGCCCTGTTTTCTTACGAGGGAAAGGTCTGCGCTGTGGACAAATCCAGTACCTAAAGGGGGCCTATAGGAAAGATAGGGAAAATCTTTTTAGTAGGGCCAGCTGTGTCAGGACAAGGGGTAATGGTTTTAAACTAAAGCAGGGTAGGTTTAGACTAGATATAAGGAAGAAATTCTTTACAATGAGGGTGGTAAAACCCTGGCAGGGGTTGCCCAGAGAGGTGGTGGAGGCCCCATCCCTGGGAACATTCAAGGCCAGGTTGGACAGGGCTCTGAGCAACCTGATGCAGTTAGCGGTGTCCCTGCTCCCTGCCAGGGGGGTTGGACTAGATGACCTCTAGGGGTCCCTTCCAACCCAAAACATTCTATGATTCTATGAAATTACAAGCCTGGTAAAGACAACCAGCTTACTGTTACTTTCTGCCTTTTTTCTGTACCTAAACTTTAGAAGAAAGCATTTCAACCACGGAAATTTCAGTGTTTATGTAAAAAATCCTGTCTTCTGGCTTTCCAAGACAAAGCTGTTTGGCTGAATATTGGTGTCAATGACATTCAATAAGAGTTTTTGTGTGCATTTTGTGGAAAACTGGATACAACCAAAAAAAGGACGTTGGTTTGTGCTTCCTTTAGATGTAAATGTATACAAGGATTCATTTATCACACAGTTCAGATGACCAGTGTCTCAAACAATCTCATCGCTGGATTAAGCCACGATTTACTCCGAGGGACACAAACTGTCCCTGTTCCCATCTGGCAACCGCGTGAGCGTGTCCACCAGCCGAGGCCAACTGCAAAGTAAAAGCGATTAACTTTGGCTGCTGTCTAGGAGCACGCGAGGGCCTTTCGCAGCGGGAAGCGGCCGAGCACAAAGCACCGCAGCACCGGCGCTGTGCTCCCAGTCAGTTCCACGTCGTTGTCTCTGGCTTTAGACTTCAAGGTCACCCGAGCCTCCTGCCAGCACACCCCGAGGTGCTCCTCTGTCAGGTCTCAAACAGTGTTTCAAGGCCGTTAATTAAAAACATGGAAGAGGTCTCTGTCCTCCGTACTCGGCTCTGCCAGCTGCTAACTGCTCCTCCAGAGGCAGTTCGTAGAGCAATTTGCGGCTTTTTCAATCAATACTCATCTCTCTGAGCTCAGTCGTTCCCATAGGGAGCCCAGGGAAAGCCTTTCCTCGAGGCCAGGCAGGCGGTGGAAGCCGGACGCCTCGTCAAGGATCGATTATGTGTAAAAAACACCGTTCCTTTCCCCAAAGCGCTTCGTCCCCCTTTGCTGCGGAGACCACCCAGGACGCCGTGGGGGGGGATGGAAGACGCCCGAAACCCACCGCAGACGAGGGGA